CGTGGCGGGCGTATTGCCGAACCTGCACTCATGTGTAGCTGGGACAAGCTGAGTCCTCACGTTACCGTTAAAAAGAAAGGCCTGGTAGGGACCTCCTATAGAGTTGGAACAGAAAGTATAGAACAAAGATGAATAAATCATCACTCACACCACCCACCTTCACCTGCAACAGCGACACCCCCGCAACTGGTCTTGATCGACTATACAGCGCTGTCACGGCAACACTGTGCGACTGCTCACGCTTTTACTCCCCACGTTCTGCGACTTGCCATCATTCGCAGGTCTGCCTGGACGGAGCTGGCGGCTTCGCCCCGCTCTAGCAAGGACCGGGACTTTGGTCCAGCTACTATATAATAATAAACTACACAAAACATACGACCATGTACGATAATACACATGCTATAGCGCACAATTTCGTTTGTTTCGGATCCGGCTCCTGCGCCGAGGCCCAGGGTACAAGTTGGGAGAGTCCAAAAGTCCAAACCTAGACCCTAAACCCGTACGGAACTATGTGGAGCCTTGCCTGCCTTGTGCAAGAGTCAGAGTCGAAACCCTAAACCCTGAGCAAGACAATCCAGGAGGCTCCGGAATCGCCAATCGAGAAGTTGGTGGCCAGCTTCAGCTTCAAGGCATTTTGGGAGAGCTTTATTAATATTGGAGTGCGTAGTACGCTGTAGTTTCTTAGTGCATGTTAGAGCACATTGAAGCATCTTAGAGTGCCTTGGACTGTATTGGAGTATATCACCGCAGAGTCGAGTATTTTACTCGTAGAGTATGTTGCGGTACATCATCGTACATTGGAACATATTGTATTTCAATGATGTAGTGTCTCGCGATCCCCCTTCGGCTTGCAGGAGCTGGCAGCTTGGTACATGCAAGTAACAAGACAGCCACCCAACTGCATCGTCTTGCTAAGAAGCGGCTGGTTCAGGTAGACCCAGCCGTGTGCCATGCAGAGTGCGTTGCATGGTGGCTTGGCTCCAGCAATCGCCGGCTTCCTCTGGCCTTCGGAAGTCCAGGACCTCTTGGGAGCAAGTTGATTCAAAGCCCTAGTTACGTCCCTCCTACCAACAAATTAAAACCTTAAGACAATGATTGGATGGATTAGTTTAGTAATTACGTATAGTCGCAAGAAGAAGGGGAGGAGAAGGAGCTGCAACCAATAATAATATCAGCGGCACAGCACAAACGAGAATAACACTGCCAGCAATTGTAACAAACCACGAAAACAGCACCGCTAATGACAATTATGTCTGCTAATCCTATCCATAACATGATATCCATAAGAGCGATAATGACAATAAAACCAAAGCTGTAACAATGAGCAGTTCTAGCTCGAATAATACATACAATATCGACATTGGTAATTAGCCATTAGCATGCATAAAAACCCTAACGGCGATAGCAGTAGTACAGCAGTACCGATCGCATCACTACGGGTTTCAACATGAAGCAGGTCCTGCAGGCAGCTGCGCAGCGATTCACAGAGTTGCGGGCCGCCGCACTTCGCTTCCTGACCTCCCCAGAAGCTCGCAGGCCTTCGTTAGAGCCACCGTGGTTGGGGATTACAACTTTTAGATGATGAGTTTGGCTGAAGGGATTCAGGGACTAGTGCATTGCAGTCCCTGCTAAAAAAGATGATGAGTTTGCTGGCCGGGGGAGCACTACTCAAGCCTGTGTAAGAAGGGGGGTAGGAGCACCTGAAACTACCATAACTCACGATTTGGGCAGGGTGGCCACTCTAACCCAAAATCAGGAAGAATTCCTTTCTTTCGACTCTATGCCAAAAGAAGGATAGGTTGTGGTGAGAACAGGTACATCTTGATTTGATCATCGGATGCAGGGTCATGAGAAGGCGCGGCACGAGTAGGGCTGAATAGGGTCGATCATTTGAATAGGCAGGGTTATCGGACTGAGTACCACACAGGGTTCAGGCTCGTCACAGTGTAAGCATATTCACCCGCAAGTTTGCTCACGAATTTTGTCAATGCGGCAGTCCAGGTGGGCAGAAATGAGACCAACGGCTGCGAACAGCAGTGAAGGTTGAGGCAAAACTTCCAACCCGAAACGAGAGCGAGAGAGAGAGAGAGAGAGAGACTGGAGGGTGCAAATCTCAATAATCTCGGGAAGAATTTGGGTAGTCCCACGAAGGTCGCTCCTTGAGATGATCGCAGCCGCTGCCGGCAGTGCCACGGCGGAGGCTGTCTTGGCTTTTGACTCCTCTCCAGCAAAGCCCTGGCCGTCCTTTGAAGATGGTTTGCTGGTTCTGTGGTGCTGCGATCAGCCCATTCACCGTGAGCGGAAGGCAATGCAAGTTGCCCTTCGAAGTGGCCCTGTCATGGCCGTGAGATGGCTGCTTGCTGCACGGGCCGATGTAGAGCAGCCGGTGGAGGGAGACCTCACGCCTTTGCGCTTGGCTGCCCGCTTCGGGAGTGAAGAGCTCGTTGAGATGCTTTTGGAAGGCTCCGCAAACCCTAACAGTCGCGGACGATTTGGCAATACGGCCTTGATGGTCGCTGCTATGCACGGTCACCACCACATAGTTGAGCTGCTCCTGAGCAAAGGCTCTCAGGTCAACACAAATGGCGATGGCGAGACCGCAATTGATCTTGCTTGCCGTTACCCGGATGTCGCTGACCTGCTGACTAGACATGTCAGCCAATACGGCTGGACCGGTGCTCGGCCATTGGAAAGAGTGTGGAGTCGTGGGCGGGTTTCCAAGCCCGTCGCGCTTTCGTTGCTCTTTTGGCAGCAGGGTTTGCATTCCAGGCCGTCTGCATGGTTGCCATCATCGCCAACACGATGTACTTGGGTGTCAATGCGGACTGGAAAATCAGGCAGGCTCATCTGGGACTTTGGAAGTCAAGCGACCCCAACAGACAAAGTGAGTTTTCAGCCTGCTTTTTGGAGGAATGCTTTCGGTCCCATCGACGGTCGCCAAAGAGAGGTCGAGGATACAGCGTGGGATATAACCTTCGCGGTTTGGCTTCTTGGCAAGATAAGCTTGAAGCATCCTGCCTGACTTGCGAATCTGCCTTCTGCATACTGTCGTGGGCTGTGTTCCTTGCTGCGCCTGTATCGGTATTAAGGGGTTTCTAGCCCGAGGTTCTCCATTGAGATCCTCTTGCGCTTGCTAGCTGAGAAGATCAGCTTCTTCACCGGCGAGGAGCAGGTGCACTAAAGGGCTCCCCACTTGACGACAACACAGCGACGACGACAACAACAGCAGCAGCAACCGCAAAAGCAAGACAAGGAACGAATTGAAACATGAACCCCGTGCAAAAGCAAGTTTGCTCTTTTGCCTGTAGGTTGTTCGGCAGAGGGGGGGAGTTGCTGCTCTTCCGGGTTTGGTCTCTTCAATTGGGTGTGGAAACAGCAGAATTTGTGTAGAATAGAAGACGGAAAACCTGGTGCTCTTCGGGTTGTGATGGGGGGACTTTGGTTGTGCCTGCTGTTACCTTGCTAAGAAACTACCAAGCCCTAAACCCCTTTGCTGGTTGTGTCATTTCTATGTTGTTTCATGCCTTTGCGGGGTTATGTTTGCGACGGCACAGTAGCAAGCTCAGACCTTCGAACGCCATGCCAGCCTTGAGCGAGTGTGAGTCGAAACCCCAAGCCCGCAAGGTAATGCCTTTCCCCTCGAAGAGTCTAAGGCTTTAAGGTGGGTTTTGGGCTCGAAGGGTGCACAACCCATACAAGCCACACCGACCCTCCCACGCCACTCTCAACAAGAACTTGGTGTCCTTACTATCAGCGGAACACAGGTCTGGTTTTTTGTTGTTCTACTCCCCTTCCCATTATGAGAGTTACCGGTTAGTTTCTAGTGCTACTGGTACAACTACCACTACTGCCACCAGTAACTGGCACCACTACCACTACCATTGGTGTTGCCGCTGCTGCTGCTGTAGTAGTAGTAGTAGTAGTAGTCGTCGTCGTCGTAGTCGTAGTCGTAGTCGTAGTAGTAGTAGTAGTAGTAGTAGTAGTAGGCGCCCCCCCCCCCACCAACCACCTCTGCTGCCAA